CTGTGTTAATTGGTTTCCCTTTACTTTGTTGAAGAGGGTCTGTGCAGTCTTTCTGCCTAGTCCGCCATCTTGCCAGAATTCCCTTCCTTTGCTCTTGACTGCATCTTTTTTCCCCTCCACTCTTACTTTTCTAGGACATTCCTTTAGTTGATATTGTTCCATCAAATCATTTTAAAACCATTTTATCTTTTTGCAAATCTTCTAGTCTTTGTATTTAATCTTTTTGTTAAAATTATTGTTAAATTTTATTTGGCCATTTAATTTCATTTTAAATTGACTCATGGAAAGGACTTGAGCTTTGAGTGAGAGTTAGATTTATAGCTTGACTCTGTCATGTATTAATCACACAAAACATGGTATATTTCATTCTCTTAAACTGTGTGTGAGGTAAATCTTATTATCCCTATTTAACCTGGGGATACTGATCAGCACCACTTTGGCCCTCTGAATTTCAGTTTCCTCTTAACGACACCAATTTCATAAGGTGGATATTACAATTAAGTACCCAGGCATATGCAAAAGGTCAGGGCTCAGCTATGGTATGTCCTAGGTGTTCAGTGAACAGAAGCTGTTACCATAAATACACATCTGGAAAGAGATTAGCTAAGAATATATTCACTCACTCATTAGGTCATTTAACAAATATCTAATTTAAATATTTAACCACTACATGCTCAGCACTATCCTTGGAACATATAATATACTACTTAACCACTTTTGTCTTTCCAGTATGTTCATTTAGCTACAGTCAAGTTTCAGACAAGCATCACTAGCTCATTCTGCCTCTCTGGGATTCTGCTTCCTAATCCACCAAGGTGGAGATGGATGAGTGGATTTCTGCCCTCCCTACTATACTTGACTTTCCCAGGCTCTGTGCATACTAATCGCTGGGACTTCTTCTCTACTGAGAAATGTGTTAACATGCCCCAGCCTAGTCCACCCCAGGCTCCACTTGTGGCAGGGCCCTGAGTCTCATGTTTGACCACTGTTTCGGGTTCAACTCCTGCTCTACTCTCAGCACTCAGGTGCTTCTTAGCCTCCCCAAATCAGTCCTACCCTGTGACTTACTGGGGCTGGCATTCACATCAAAATCACCCCTTCTTTCCATTTGTTGTTGTTGTTGTTGTTATGTGCCGTCGAGTCAAACCCGACTCATAGCGACCCCTCCTTGGGTTTCCGAGGCAGTATCACTACGGAAGTAGGATTGCCCAAACTTCCTTCCAAGGAGTGGCTGGTAGGTTTGAACCACCAGCTGTCTGGTTAGCAGGCAAGTGTCTTAGCCACTATGCTACCAGAGCTCCTTCTAAATCCTCCAACACTCACACCCTTGACCCAAGACCCAAGTCAGTATCTGCCTCCCTACCCTCAGCAAACCCCTCAGACTGAAAACAGACATAGAGTCATGACCTGAGGGTCCTGAAAACAAAAGGAAAAACATTATTCTCATATTGTCCCCCCACCTCTTGTCTCACACCTTGGTAAAGAGGCAACAGGCTTTCTGGAATGAGAATTGTTATTTCACATTATCTGTGTACAAGTATTCCATACAGAATTGGACTTGATCTACCATCAAATTTTTCATTACTGAGATTCCTAACAACTGAAAAAAATTATTGAATCTCAGAGCTGAAAATGACCTCGAGCTGCAATGCAGCCAAGAAAAGGAAAATTACCCAAGTTGTTTACTTAATGTTCCAGTCAAGTTGCCTTAAAACGTATTTTAATTTTGGGGGTTGGGGAGGAGTTCTGCTTTCACCCTTGGAGAATGAGGAAGCAGACTGCTGCTCTCACTGGGGCAGGCTAGGGGCAGGTCCTACCTTTTGGGTTCCCAGAGGGAAGGTGACTGTGGCCAAGGTCTGGAGAAACTCTGGAGCATGCCACATGGGGTCCTGGGGGTATGCACGGTGGACAAGGCCCAGGAACTGCAGCATACTGGCTGGAAACGACTGTTCCCAGGTGCTGTCTTCAGAACCTGCCAAGGGCTAAGGACACACACTTCATGAGAAGCTAGGGCATGGAAGTGAAAGCAATTGTAACTTAGAAGAAGACCTCCTTTCTAAGACTTTGAAAAAGACTATGAGTCAACAAAGGATACTGGTCAACATGTGGGGAGTGATTTAATATATGCATAATAGTTCTACTCTGATCCACATGGGGTTGCCATGAATCAGCATCAACTCAATAGCAACTGGTTCTGGGGAGTTTCTGGGTGCTCTAACAGGTAACACACCTGGCTGCTAACTGAAATATTGGTGGTTCAAGTGTACCCAAAGGTGCCTTGGAAGAAAGGCCTCGTGATCTACTTCAAAAAATCAGCCATTGAAATCCCTAAGGAGCACAATTCTACTCTCACACACTTCAGGCCACCAGGATTAGGGGTAAACTGGATGATAACTGGTTGTAATATATGCAACAATTTTTCTAATGGCTTTATACATCTTACCTTTCTCATCTTCACAACAAAGCCCTGAGGAAGATGCTACCTTTACCACTATTTTGTTGCTGTTGTTGTTGTTATGTGCAGTCTAGTAGGACCTGACTCATAGCGACCCCTCCTTGGGTTTCCAAGGCAGTATCACTATGGAAGTAGATTGCCCAACCTTCCTTCCGAGGAGTGGCTGGTGGGTTTGAACCGCCAGCCTTCTGGTTAGCAGTCAAGTGCCTTAGGCACTATGCTACCAGAGCTCCCACTATTTTAGAAATGAGAAAACTGAGGTACAGAGAGTATACTTAACTTGTCAAAGGTCACCTGTGGGTAAGGGGCCAAGCCAGGAATGCCAGGCAGAGTAGCCTGGTTGAAAAGTCTGGTTATCTTCCCTATATGGTCTCTATGGGATTAGATATGCCTCCATATGCACAAGGAACTTGACTATCAAGGTTAAACTCTGCTTTCCCCAGTCAGTGCTGATGCTCCCAGCAATAGATCCTGCCCTGACTAATGCTTAGTAAACCTTGTCTGAGGTTGGCAGGGCTCGAGGTGCCCAGTCCCCACCAGCCAAGTGTCTATATTGAATCATGTTGCACTGAGTTAGTACCCAGTCATCTACAGTGACCTGAGCACATATTCACCACTTTCTCCCACCTGGTCTTAGACACATGGCTGGGTCTCTGCCTTGAATCCCTGACTGTGTACCAGTGCCCTACTGGAGTTTGACTAGCTTGACCAGCCCTTCCCAGGTATTCTCTCCAGATACTGACCTTGACCCCAATATATACAGCTGTTGTGTAATGCCTACCTTGTCCTAAATGAATAGCTGGAACTTAAAAATTGACCATCAGGATTGTTCCCTACAGAGTCACTCCAACACCAAGGCTGAGTGACACTTGACCTACTTCTATGGACACTATAGGAGTTCTGGTAGCATAGTGCCTAAGGCACTTGACTGCTAACCAGAAGGCTGGCAGTTCAAACCCACCAGCCACTCCTCGAAAGGAAGGTTGGACAATTTACTTCCATAGTGATACTGCCTCGGAAACCCAAGGAGGGGTCACTATGAGTTAGGGACGACTCAATGACACACAACAACAACAACATGGACACTATACTGTTGATATCGGACCCTTGCTCTAAGAAACCAGTTACCCAGCACCAGTCCCTCCCAGCTATGGCTTCCTCATTTCCTCACCAGCCTGCTGTTTGGTTCTTATGCAGCCCTCTTGAGTTGGAGTTTTTTGTTTGCCAAGTAGCTACCAAGTGCCTAGAAATGTGCCTCTCACTAGGAAACTCAAATCCAATTGTAGAAAGAAAGGCAGTGCACATGGGACAACCAGAGAGCAGTCTAAAATCACATTTACAGGATACTAGGAGTCTGATGTGGCTGGAGCAGATAAGCACTGTTTCTGAAGTCATCTGCATGAGTTCTATACATATTGCTAGCTTCACTATATTCTTGCAGCATGATATCAGACATACAGAGGAGTGTGAGAGTTAAGAGAGCTTTTTCTGGACTTAGTCTGCCTAGGTTCAAATCCTGCCTCTGCTGCGTACTAACAGTGCACCTTTGGACCAATTCTTTACCCTCCCTACACCTCCAGTTCCAGCTATGTGAAACAAAGGATCATGATGCTTTCAGGACAGACATCCTCATTGTACCAAATTATTAAAGTTTAATTCTTTGGGCCTTGAACCTGACTCTGCCTGGCATTCATATCTTTATTTAGTTTTGCTGTGTTTGCTTACTCTTTTCCTGTCAATCTTGGAGCCACATTATAGATACATGTCAGGACCCACGAAGTTGGGTCTTATTTCTGACACAGTCTAGAAGACACATCTTTAATATACAAGTTGATCCTTTTTACATTATTTGTTACTATTCAAATGTTTGGTTTTAGTTTTTTACTTCTTTTGGCGTATTGTATATTTTCTTTATTTTAAATGCTTTCTTGCTATTCCTTGTTGTTGTTCTTAGGTGCCGTCAAGTCATCTCCAACTCATAGCGACCTCACGTACAGCAGAACGAAACATTGCCTGGTCCTGTGCCACTGCCATGATCTTTGTTACACCCCAGCCCATCGTTGCAGCCACTGTGTCAATCCATCTCATTGAGGGCCTTCCCTCCACGTTGCCAAGCATGATGTTCTTCTCCAGGGTATGGTCCCTTCTGAAAACATGACCAAAGTAAGTGAGACAAAGTCTAGCCATTCTCATTTCCAGGAGCATTCTGGCTGCACATCTTCCAGATTTGTTAATTCTTTAAGCAGTCCATGGTACTTTCAGCATTCTTCACCAACACTACACCTCAAAAGCATTGACTGTTCTTAAGTCTTTTTTTTTCATGGTCCAGCCCTTGCATGCATATGAGGTGACTGAAAATACCATGGCTTGTGTCAAGTGCACCTTAGTCTTCAAGGAAACATCCTTGCTCCTCAGCACATGAAAGAGGTCCTTTGCAGCAGATTTGCTCAATGTGATATGACATCTGATATCTTGACTGCATTGGTGTTGAGTGTAGAACTAAGTAATATGAAGTCTTTGACAACTTCAATCTTTTCTCCATTTATCATGATGCTGCTTATTGGTCCCATTGTGAGGATTTTTGTTTTCTTTATATTGAGGTATAATCCATACTGCAGACTGTAGTCTTCAATCTTCATCAGTAAATGTTTCAAGTCATCCTCACTTTCAGCGAGCAAAGTGGTGTCATCTGCATAACATAGGTTGTTAATGAGTCTTCCTCCAATCCTGATGCCACCTTCTTCCTCATATAGTCCACCTTCTCAGATTATTTGTTCAGCATGCAGATTGACTAAGTATGGTGAAAGGATACAACCCTGACACATTCCCTCCTTGATTTTAAACCATGTAGTGTCCCCTTGTTCTGTTCAAACAACAGCCCCCTGGTTTATGTACACATTCCTTGTGAGCTCAATGAAGTGTTCTGGAATTCTCATTCTTCTCAATGTTATCTATAATTTGCTATGATCCACACAATTGAGTGCCTTTGCATAATCAATAAAACACTAGTAAGCATCTTTCTGGTATTCTTTGCTTTGAGCCAAGATCCATCTGACAGTAGCAATAATATCCCTTGTTCCACGTCCTCTTGTCAATCCAGACTGCACCTCTCGAAGTTCTCTGTCAATATACTGCTGCAACCATTTTTGAATTATCTTCAGTAAGATTTTACTTGTATGTGATATTAATGATATTATTTGATAATTTCCATATAGTGTGGGATCACCTTTCTTTGGAATGGGTACAGATATGGATATCTTCCAGGCAGTAGACAGGTAGCTAGCTGCCCTCCAAATCTCTTGCATTTTGAAACATCTCTATGGGTGTCCAGTCAATCCCTGGAGCCTTATTTTTCGCTACTTCCCTCAGTGCAGCTTCAACTTCTTTCAACACCATTGGTTCTTGAACAGATGCCACCTCCTGAAATGGATGAACATCGACCAATTCTTTTTGGTGCAGTGATTCTGTGTATTCTTTCCACTTTCTTTTGATATTTCCTACATCATTCAATATATTGCCGATGGAATTTTTCAATATTGGAACTGGAGGCTTAAATTTTTTCTTTAGTTCTTTCAGCTTGAGAAATGTTAAGAGTGTTATTCCCTATTGCTTTCCAACTCCATGTCTTTGCACATTTCATTATAATTGACTTTATCTTCACAAGATGCTCTTTGAAATCTTCTGCTTAGCTCTTTTATCTTGTCATTTCTTCAATTTGCTTTAGCTACTCTCTGTTCAAGGGCAAGTTTCCAAGACTATTCTGACATCCATTTTGGTCTTTTCTTCCTTTCCTGTCTTTTTAATGCCCTCTTGTTTTCTTCATGGATGATGTTCTTGATGTCATCCCACAATTCTTCTGGTTTTTAGTCATTGGTGTTCAATGCATCAAATCTATTCTTTAGATGATCTCTAAATTCAGGAGGGATATATTCAAGGTCATATTTTGGCTCTCATGGACTTGTTTTAATTGTCTTCAACTTCAACTGGAACTTGCATGTGAGCAGTTGATGGTCTGTTCCACAGTCAGTTCCTGGCCTTGTCTTGGCTGAAGATATTGAGCTTCTCCATCACCTCTCACAGATGTAGTCAATCTAATTCCTGTGTACTCCATCTAGTGAAGTCCACATGTATAGCCACCATTTGTGTTGTTGAAAAAAAGTATTTACAATTAATAACTTGTTGATCTTACAATCTCTAGCATTATTTCAATCTCCAAGGCCAAATTTTCCAACTACCGGTGATTCTTCTTTGTTTCCAATTTTTGCAGTCCAATCACCAGTTATAATCAGCACTTCTTAATTACATGCTTGATCAATTTCAGACTGCAGAAGTTGGTAAAAAATCTTCAATTTCTTCATCCTTGTCTTTGGTGGTTGGCACATAAATTTGAATAATAGTAGTATTAACTGGCTTTCCTTGTAGGCATATGAATATTATCCTGTCACTGACAGCATTGCACTTCAGGATAGATCTTGAAACATTCTTTGTGATGATGAATGCCACTCCATTCCTCTTTGATTTGTCATT